CACAGGGGTACATGTGTTCATGTACAGTTTTGTCTGGGTATACTCCCAGGAGTGAGATTGCTTAGTGATACACTAATTCTAATTTTAGTTTTCTGAGGAACCTCCATCCTGCTTTCTATAGTTGCTGTACTCATGTACATTTCTACCAACAGTGTAGGAGGGTTCCCTCTACTCCACATCCTCTCCAGCATTTGATATTTGTAGATTTTCTAGTGATGGCCATTCTGACCTATGTAAGGTGGTACCTCATTGTAGGTTTTGATTTGCTTTTCTGTAATAATTAGTGATGTTGAGCATCTTTTCATGTGTTTGGCCATCTGTATGTCTTTTTTGGAGACATGCCTATTGAGGTCTTCTGTTCATGTTTCAGTTGGGTTGTTTTTGTTGTTGTTGAGTTGTATGGGCTGTTTGTATATTTTGGAGATTAAGCTCTTGTCTATTGCATCATTTGCAAGTATTTTCTCCCATTCTGTAGATTGTCTTTTCATTTTTTAAAATAGTTTCCTCTGCTGTGCAAAAGCTTGTAAGTTTGATTTGGTCCCATTTGTTTTGATTAGGTCCCGTATTATTTCTATTGTCTTGGGAGACTGACCTAAGAAACTGGTACAATTTATGTCAGAGAATGTTTTGCCTATACTGTCTTCTAGGAGCCTTATGGTGTCATGTCTTGTGTTTAAGTCTTTAAAAGCCATTTTCAGTTTATTTTTTGTGCATGGTGTGAGGGTGTGCTCTAACTTGATTGATTTACTTGCAGCTGTCCAACTTTCCCAGCACCACTTGCTGAAGAGGCTTTCCCCCATTTTATATTCTTGCCTCCTTTGTCAAAGATTAATTGACCATGGGGGTGTGGGTTTATTTCTGGGCTCTCTATTCTGTTCCATTGATCCATATGTCTGTCTTATACCATCACTACACTATTTTGATTACTGTGGCTTTGTTGTATTGTCTTAACTCTGAAGGGTAGTGCCTCCCCTCCTGCTTTGTCTCTTTCCTCAGGATTGCTCTGGCATTTCTGGGTCTTTTATGGTTCCATATAAATTTTTGGATCATTTGTTCTAGTTCTGTGAAAACTGTCATGGTCAATTTGACAGGGATTGAATTAAATCTGTAGATTACTTTGGGGAGCATTGCCATTTTAGCAATATTAATTATTCCAGTCCGAGAGCATGGAATATCTTTTCTTTGAATCATCTTTTATTTCCTTTATTAATATTTTATAGTTCTTAACTATAAAATAAACCTTGGTCAGGTTTATTCCTACATATATATATATATATATATATATATATATGCAATGTTAAGAGTATTGTTTCTTTTTTACATTCCTTTTCTGATATTTTGTTAGTGTGAATGCAGTTAATTTCTGAGAGTTAATCTTGTATTTGCTAAATTCATTTATTAGATCTTTTTGTGTGGAGTCCTTAGGGACTCTATATCCTTTCATCTGTTGATGAACATTTAGGTTGCTTCCATATCTTGGCTATTGTAAATAATGCTTCTATGAATATCAGGATGCATGTTTCTTTGCAAATTAGAGTTTTTGTCTTTTCTGGGTATGTACCTAGGATTGGGATTGTAGGATCAAATGGTAACTATTTTTAGCTTTTTAAGGAACCTCCGTATTGTTTTCCAGAGTAACTGTACCAATTTACATTCCTACCCACAGTGTGGGAGGGTACCCTTTCTCTACATCCTTTCTAGCATTTATTTTGTAGACTTTTCAATGATGGCCATCCTGACTGGTGTGAGACATTTTAAAAAGACATTTATTAGACACTTAATTTGTTAGAGCTTTTTATCTTTCAAATTAAAAATATGCCTAGAGGGCAAAAACCAAGAGAAATGTTTAAAATGGTTTCTTGTTTGCTATATCCTGGTGGATCTCATGGATGCAAGTCCCATTGGCTTTCAGAGCTAAATATTTTGGAGGCTTGTATCTTAGATGCAAGTCTTAAAAGCTGGAGTGCCTGATATGAGGTCCAAACCATTTTCTCGTCATGGAGAAGCTTGGAGTTGTGGGTTTCCTCCTGACTGGGCAGGGGTGGGGTGTATAGTAAGACTGTGTTTCTGCCTCTCCTACTTGGTTTGATGTGGGTTTCTTCTCATTCATCTGATGTGTTGGGGTTGCTCATCTAGTTATTGGATTTCTTTCAAAACGCATTGTTCTGTATGTAACTGTCAATTACATGTGTCTGTGGGAGGAGGTAAGTTCAGGACCTTCTAGTCACCATCTTGAATGGGACCCCTCATGCTTTTCTATTTTCTTACTAGACTAGTGAGTAAGAGTGCTGTCTCCATTGTCTTGCTGGCAGGGTTCACTGCTCTGCTCCTTGCTTCCTGTCTGGGGAAGTTGGACCTTTGCTAAATGGGGATAATGGTAGTATGTGGTTTTATGGTTCTTGAGGACAAACGTCGCTGCACGCCTGGAATGCTTTGAGCACAGGGGACTGAGTGAGGCAGTTGATCATCTGCCTCCTCCCACTGAAGTGTCAGCTTCGTCAGGGCAGGACTTTTTCTCTTCACACTCCCAGCTTCTAGAGTTTGAATGGATGCAGATACAGCTCAGTATTCCTTACTCATTGGCCTCGGCCCTTCTTCCTGTTGGCCTGGCTGCCTACCTTCTTGCAGTCCGACCTGTGCACTTCTGACAGCTTCCCAGTCTGGTGGTAACTCATCTCTGAGGCTCTGTAAGCCTTCTGGGCATCAGCTCTGTGGTCTTCCCAGGGCAATCCTTGAGGCTGGTAAAATTATCTGATAAACATGGAGTGATCGGTGACACTGTTAGTTGAAGTGTAAGTTTTCACACTAGCAGCAGTGTTTTTGTGTAACTGCCTAAGTTTTAGTGGGAGTATTAGGAAACATGACTCACTGCTAAGTTTTACAATATTCCAAGTGTGTACATATCAAACATCATAAATGTGACCTTATCTTACTAAGGTAGCAAACGCCCTTGGCGTGTTTTCAAGGCCCTGGGACGAGGCAGACTGCCTGGGCAACGTATGTGGCTTTTTCCTCAAAACACCATAGAACAACATGACAGAGCAGAGGATGTGGAGGTGATGTCTAATAGGGAAGATACCCTGAGATCCAGGGAGGAGCCCAGCCCCTAAGTCATCCAGTGTTTTAGGTTTAAAAAAGCTACCTTCACTCTGTGGGCTCGGCTGCCCAGCTACAATCTAGAGATGAAGATAAGCTTGGGAAAGAGAACTCCCAAATGGAGTCCAGTTATATGCGAGGCACTTGTATTAGCTTGTTTATTCCTCATAATCACCCGTTACTAAAGGACAGTTGGGATTTGATCCTGGCCTGATTTCTTCTGAAGCTGAGACTCTACACATTTTATACTTCCACCTTCTGCTGTTAAGAAGACCTCAGTGGGAAAGTGGGCTCTGTGCAAACTTGAAAATGTGGACTTGAGTGGGTTCATATAGGCTGCCTGCACCTCAAATGAGCCAGCTGGTCTAGGATAAAGGCTGCTTTAGCTTATCTATACTTTTGTGTTAGCATCTCTGCAGGTAGCTGGTGATGATATCAGACCCTGCATGCACTGGTAGCTAGTGGCAGCCTTCTTCTCTGGCGATTGGCGGGGGAGTGGGGAGTGGCTTATAGTCATAATGTCAGTGACAGCTGCATTATATGCAGTGCTTATTTAAACAAACAACAATAGAAAACACGACTCCAGTAAAAGCCGAAACACGTAGCCACATTTCAACCGTGCTTGTATGTAGTGACAGGAAATGCGTCTATAATTTTAGACCAGTTTGAGAGGTAGAGATCTCAAGAGAAGCACACATATGTATACTTTGGAAAATAGCACTTACCTGAGAAAGAACAAGTTATCAATGAAGTAATCTTTTAAGCTAATTTTTTAAGGTTATTTTATACAAAATAGTAATTAACTTTTGTGATACTTGATGAAGCAAGACAAAGCAGCTGTTTATTCTTTTTTTTCCTCATAAATTAGATTACTGCTTCCCAAAATGCTACCCAAAGGAATGGTATTTCATGAAATATTCCAAAAAATGCCTTATGTGGACAAGTGTGAGGAATGGTCTATCTTTCTCCTGAAGATTTAAGGTTGGGGAGACACCAAAACTTTTAAAAAAGTATTACTGATTTTATTTCCAGGAAGTGGTCTATGGGGTAAGAAGTCTTGGCAGTTGCTGAGATTTCTGATTGTAACGTATGTTTGGACCATTCACTCATGTGGTCTCTTTGTTTTATGAACCTCCGTACTATGATTTCCAGGAATACTTTGTAACCAAACTGACAGACAAGTAGGTGAATAATCCTAGGTCCACTGATTTTTAGGGAGCATCCAAACCACATGAGCCTGGATCAGCTGTCTGAGGGGTTAACACATAAGCCAGCGAGCTGCCTTGAACAGCCTCCTCAGCACAAATGAGGGAGCTGGGTGGATGCACTCAGCCTCAGTGCAGGGCTGACAGTCTGACTTCACTGCTTATTCCCATAGAGAAGTGATATGATGCATGCAGAATGATGGCAGTTCTGGGGTTGCCGCTGAATACAAAGGAGCCAGGAAAAAACCTCCCATTCTTAAATAACATTTATTATTGTTGGAAAGAAGTCTCTTTTCATGAGAACAATTCTCACATTTATTTAAAGGTATACTGGTTATGGTTATAGAAGCAAATTTCACTGAGGTGTTCTATATGAAGTATGCCCGACTACGCCTCCGAGTTCAGCAATCTAATGTTCACAATGTGTTGGCTGCCATTAGCTATGTATCCAAACATGCCTTTTTCTCCCCCCCTTTTAAAACATGTGCCTGCACAGGGTGGAGAAAGAAACACCAAGGGTCTGCTAAAAAGGAGAAGCCTAGAAAAGATAAAATTCCTGCAGCAGTTCTGGTCAACTGCAGCCCGTGGGTGCAGGAACAGTGTTTATGTGGGGAGGTGCTGCGCCCAGTGGTTTCTCGGTTGAATGGTGTGACAGCCCTTGAGGTTTTCTGCGGCGGCGGCGGAAGAGAGAGATGCCATTTACTGAATCCAGTCGATGTTCAGGCAGCGTGCTATGAATGCAAACATGTCTGAGACTTCTTCTATCACTTTGGCCGTGGGCTTCCCGGCCCCATGGCCCGCCTTGGTGTCCACGTGGATGAGCAGGGGGTTGTTCTGCTTCCGGCTGCGGCCCACGAGGTGCTGAAGGGTGGCGATGAACTTGAGGGAGTGAAGCGGGACCACGCGGTCATCGTGGTCTGCGGTGAGGAGAAGCATGGACGGGTACTGGATGTCGTCTGCCTCCGGCAGCTTCACGTTGTGCAGTGGAGAGTATCTGAAAGGCAAAGGCACTTCCATGAGGCCAGGTATCAAAATGAGAGCTGTGCGTGTCCACTGGTTAATCACGCAGAGACCTGTGCGGTTCACCAGCGGTGAGGACTGTGGCCAGCTGGTCCCTGGGTGACCAGTGCAGACATTACGGTGGGCTGCGACTGGCCAGGGCTATTGGAGGCTGGGGAGCCCTGTCATTTATTTGGCCCCCACTTTGGAAGACTGTGTAAGAAACTCACAGGGCTGCTGGAACAACCCAAACTATATGCACCCTGACTGTCTTGAGGTGAATATTTTCATATTCTTCAGGCTGAATTTTTCACTGCAACAAAGTGGACTGGTTGTCCCTTTGTTTATTATTACATGAGAAAACATTTTAAACTGAAGTATAGTTGATTTATGATATTAGTTTCAGGTAATTCAATATATTCTTACAGATTATAGTCCAATTAAAGTTATGAAATAATGGCTCTACTCCCTGAGCTATAGAGCACATCCTTGCAGCTTATTCATTTTATACACAGTGGTTTGTATCTCTTCGTCCCCAACTCCCATCTTGCTGATTGTTCTTTTTTTTTTTTTTTATTGTAGTGGTTTTTGTCATACATTGATATGAATCAGCCATGGATATACATGTATTCCCCATCCCGATCCCCCCTCCCACCTCCCTCTCCACCCGATCCCTCTGGGTCTTCCCAGTGCACCAGGCCCGAGCACTTGTCTCATGCATCCAACCCGTGGATACAATAGGTGCAAGCCTTTGTTTTGTTGAAGAATTTGAAATCCACAGTGTCTGGCAGCTTTTTGCCTGTTTGGTATCTATAAAATCTTTATTCTGATCTCAGCTTGATAGTCTTAGGAAGAACACAGGTCCCCCCGGGCCTAGTTTCTGTCTGAAAACCAGGGAACCTGAGCTGGGCCGCTGATCTGCTGGCTCACAGTCCAGCAGAGACTGACTTTGGCCAATGGTGAGAAAGTGCAGGAGGAACCGTCTGAGGCACAAGATAAATTTGCAGTTAACAAAAGGTTTTCAAAAACTAAGTACAATCAGATTAAATGCTTGATGCTAATTAAGTAAAGTGAAAGAAATCTCTGAGTATTTCTTCTTTACTTTTAATTTTTTTAATATAAATTTATTCATTTTCATTGGAGGCTAATTACTTTACAATACTGTAGTGGTTTTGCCATACACTGACATGGATCTGCCACGGGTGTACATGTGTTCCCCATCCTGAACCCCCCTCCCCACTCCCTCCCCATCCCAGCCCTCTGGGCCATCCCAGTGCACCAGCCCCGAGCACCCTGTCTCATGCATAGTCAATACGGCTGTTTTTTTTTTTTTAATACGGCTGTCTTATTTCTCAGAGTGTTCAGTATTAATAAATCAACTATTTTAGTAGAGTTTTATTTTGTAGAGTGAATAGGAAAAATAGTAAAATTTCTGCTCAGTTAACCAAATTAAGACTAAAACTTTCTGGGGTTTAGTCTCCTAATAGCTAAGATGGGTGTGACAATGGATCTGTTTTCTGATCTCACTTCAGAGTATTTTTGGATCAACCCTGGTCCTCCAGATAAGGATTAGTTCTGTGGGAAAACAAGCTTGGAAATTCTTTTTATGAATAATACCTCTCCCTGCCTCAAGATTCACATACCACCTTTATATATTAAAGATCCTGAGAAGTTCTGTAGGAAAAAAAAAAAAGTCTGTTAGGCTTTATTTATCCTAGCCATTCACAAACTTCGAAATCTAGATCTTTTTTCAGGGGGGATCCCCTCCAGTATAGTGGATTCAGTTCTCTGCTCACTTGGGAGCAGATGAGTGGACATGTAGCTCTGTGAGTGCTAGGTTGGAAAAAGTAAGGTCTGAAGTAGGAGTATCACTGATGTCTTGACAGAAAAAATATTAAGAACTCTCTTTTACTGCTTTCAAATTAATTTTAGAAGTATTGGGTTCCAGTGAATATTTTGTTGTTTTCAACTTACAATTAATTCAGTCTTTTCAACTGAGTATAAATGGGACCTCGCCCCCTAAGTGCCTATTTTCTCTAAGTTAATTTGAACTATGACTCCTTCAGATATTCAGCTTTCATCAGGATGTGTCAGTGGGGCTACTTGTGTATTTTTAAAGTTACACTTTCCCCCCTCCTACAGAATAGAATTTAGTAGTTTGAAAGTATTCAATTAAAAAAATCCAAGTCATTTTAGCCAAATATCTAAGTGGAGAACTAGCCATGCTGCTGCTGCTGCTAAGTCGCTTCAGTCGTGTCCGACTCTGTGAGACCCCATAGACGGCAGCCCACCAGGCTCCGCCGTCCCTGGGATTCTCCAGGCAAGAACACTGGAGTGGGCTGCCATTTCCTTCTCCAATGTGTGAAAGTGAAAAGTGAAAGTGAAGTCGCTCAGTCATGTCTGATTCTTAGCGACCCCATGGACTGCAGCCTACCAGGCTCCTCCGTCCATGGGATTTTCCAGGCATGAGTACTGGAGTGGGGTGCCATTGCCTTCTCCAAAATTGCCATACAAAGCACATCAAATGAAGGAAAAAACCTGACTTGAGAAACTGAAGTTACTGTATCAAAATCTATAGTTGACTGAAAAGACTGAGACGGGACACAGGCTCCTGATGCTATTCCAAGGGCAGCTCCTTAACACTGCTGGTAAATCCCCCCGGATCCCTGCTGTGGGAAGTAAAGAGAACCAAGAGCCAAAGAAGAATGCAGCTTACAGTCTTGAGAATCTAGATGTTTGCCATTTTCTGTTATCACCAAAGTGGTTGAGGGATATAAGTATTTCAATAATGCAACTTGTAGTTTCAAATCTGGGCTTCCCAGGTGGCTCAGTGGTAAAGAATCCACTTACCAATGCAGGAGATGTGGGTTCCAACCCTGGGTCAGGGAAATTCCCTGGAGAAGGACATGGCAACCCACTCTAGTATTCTTGCCTGGGAAATCCCATGGATAGAGGAGCTTGGAGGGCTACGGTCCATGGGGTTGCAAAAGAGTCGGACACAATTTAGCAACTAAACAACAACAAAGTTTCAAATATAAGTGGTTATACTGAAAGCACAAAATAACTGTACTTGCATATATTCCTATTTCCTTTTTTTAACTGAGAAAAAGAATCCTATATATATATATATGTTATAATGATACTTTTTAAAATTAGTTTTTAATTGCTGTATCAACAAAAACCACACAGATTTCTTATCTCTTAGTAAGTCAGAAGTCTGAGTTGGTTTGACTGGGTTCTCTGGCTGTCTCAAGGTTGAAATCAAGGTGTTGGCTAGCTGGGCACTTATTAAGAAGGTCTAGGGAAAAATCTACTTCTGGACTCATTTCAGTTGTTGCCAGAATTCAGCTCTACAAGGCTGTAGGACTGAGGTCCTCATTTCTTGGACAGCTATTGGTTGGGGTTGATGTCAGGTTGTAAAGGCCCCCTTCCTCTGTTTTCAAAGCCGGCAGTGGTGGGTCTAGTTCTCATGCTTCCAGTCTCTCTCATCTCCTTTTCTGCCGCATCCCTGACTCCTGCCAGAGATAGTGCCCTGCCCTGAACGGCTTGTCATTAGATTAGGCCCTCTTGATAATCCAGGACAATGTTTCCACTCTGGTCAGCTGATTAGTAACCTTCATTTAATCTGCAAAGTCCCTGCAGAGAGGTCCACAGATCAGTCAACCATTGAAGAACCAGGGGGACAGGAATCCTGGGGGACTATCTTTAGGATTCTGCCATCCCATCTTTGTTATTTTTGCTCAAGACCAGATCAGAACTAGGAAGACATATAAGTATCCCCACGTATCCTACTTTTGCAGTGAATTATACGTAAACACGAGATACTGAAGGGGACAGTCAAACATACCCTTTTGATTGAGTTCAGTATTCTGACATCAAATCGTGAGCAATACAAACATGTCAGTATGAATCAAAACCTTACTTGATAAGCCATTCAAAATGTTGTTTGTTGTCTGAGCAGCCATAATCAGTGGTCCAGGCATGACCAATGGTGTATTTATGGAACTTCAGCATGTCCATTACTCCAACTTGGGCAATAACACAACCAAAGAGGTCAGGACGCTGATTGGCACAGGTAGCTAAAAATCAAGATAGAAAAAGGAGGTAGTCCATCATTAAACATCTGTCATAAACAAACCCAAATGAGAACAAAACACTTAAATGTTTTCTGAATCCTGATGGTCTTTTTTTTCCCAAAAGCACAGGAAGAAACTATCAGAAATCACTTGCCCAAGAGTCTGCAAGCTTTCCTCCTGCTTCCAGTATATATCCGAGGGGTGGAATATTTTCATCAGTAGTGGACACATAACTCTTCATGAAAACCTCAGACTTTCTGTAAAATCTGTGCTGCTCCCATCCCTAGCTGCTTTCACAGGTGATGCAGGATATTAATGAACTTGTGCAGGATCTCAAAACTAGCTTGTGATCTTGTGACACAGTAAGAAATACCTGTTTAATCTTTGTCCCTGGTTCCTAGAACAGGTCTCCTAAAACCCTTGAGAGTTTCCTGAGTGACAGGGGGGGAGAAGTTTTTTTCATAATTCATAACTAACCCCTCTCAACCATATCTGAGTGCATGCTAATGAGGTGGCTCTTGCTGGGTTCCTTGACAGCTTCAGGATGGGGGCTGGCTGACCGAGGAACCATGTGATAGGAGGACTGGATCTTTTGGCACCCCCCCTGATGTCTGGGGAGAGGAGCGGGGCTGGAGGCAGTGATTCATGGCTACTGATTTAATCAATCTAGCCTGTGTAACAGAACCTTCATGAACACCAATGGAGTCTGGAGAGCTCCCAGGCTGGTGAATACTGGGAGGTGCTGGGACCATGGTGCACTCACAGGGTATGGAGGCTCGGTGTGCACCTGCCCCAGCCACACACCTCCTCTGACTTGTCCCCAAGTTCCATCCTTTATAACAGACCGGCAAGTGTAAGAGCGTTCCTGAAACTGAAAGTCACTTAGTCGTGTCCAACTCTTTGTGACTCCATGGACTATACAGTCCTTGGAATTCTCCAGGCCAGAATACTGGAGTGGGTAGTCTTTCCCTTCTCCAGGGGATCTTCCCAACCCAGGGATCGAACCCAGGTCTCCTGCATTGAGGGCAGATTCTTTACCAGCTGAGCCACCAGTGAACCCCAAGAATACTGGAGTGGGTAGCCTCTCCCTTCTCCAGGGGATCTTCCTGACCCAGGAATCGAACTAGGATCTCCTGCATCGCAGGCAGATTCTTTACCACCTGAGCTATCAGGGAAGCCCTAAGAATGTTCCTGAGTTCTATCAAATTATCGAACTCGAGGAGGGAGACCTGGGAACCCCCAGTTTATAGCCATCAATCAGAAATATGAAAGGTCTAGAACTTGTGATTCGTGTCTGCAGTGGGGACTGTCCTTCGGGTCTGTGCTAACTCTGGGTAGTGTCAGAATGGAACTGAATTGTGTGACACCCAGTTGGTGTCTGGAGAGTTAGACCATTGGTTGCTGTGGGACCCACCCTTCTACCCCTTCCTGCATTTGGCATCAGAAGTGTTGTAAACAGCAACAGTTGATATAGGTATAGCTCAAAGCAGAATAGAGCCTAAGACCCAATTCAGAGCTCTATCAGATACTGACATATTTTCTTGTCCTGTTTTAAAAATGCTCTTCTTTGTATACTGAAAATTTTATTTTTTGGATAATTCAACAAATGTTTATTGAACATCTGCCATGTGCCTTGCACTAGGCATGCGGCCTGGGGACATGTCAGTGAATAATTTAGTGGTAAAGATAAAAGAAGTGAATGGGCAGTTACAGTGTGGCATTCACTTCTGTTGAGAAAGTGTGGGTTCTATGGAAGAAGGGTGTAGGCCAGCATAATGAAACTGGGGAGGCTTTGGGAGGAAGTAACATTAAAGCTGGCATGACGAGGAGTTAGTCAAGAGATGTGAACTTTTCCTGCCTCTGGCAAGAAACAGTTCCCACTGCAGTTTAGATGTCAGTGCTTATTCATGATACCGATTTCTGAGTCCTACCCCTGCAGATCTTCTCCTCCCCGTTCAGAGGTGGGAGGGGCAGGAAGATGTTCTTTTAAATAAGCATTTTAACATCTTGATGGACAAACTCCATCTCTGAAGGTCCACAAAGGACCTGGTTTATTAAAAGGCGTAAACCAATTCCTAAAAATACAACTCCAAAAATGGACTTATTGGATGAACCAGTAAATTACAACGCAATTCTCCCACTACTAAAATCAGGTGGTATTTTCAACATCTTTTCCCATTAAATAGTTTAGATTCACTGTAAGTTGTTCTTTCTTTTTTATTAATACTTGTTTAATTCATATGAAAATTTAGTTGGCTCAAACTCAAAATATATTAAGAATCAGGCCACTTCTTATTACTTCCATCATCACACCCAGGTCCGTGCCACCATCCTCTCTCACTGAGCAGAAGCCGCCTTGCCTCTTCTGTCCACCCTAACACAGCAACAGAGCAATCCACGGTCCTGATTTAAACATGTCAAATTGTATGCTGACTCTTTGCGACCCCATGGACTGTAAAGTCCACGGAATTCTCCAGGCCAGAATACTGGAGTGGGTAGCCAGCGTTTCCCTTCTCTAGGGGGATCTTCCCAACCCAGGGATGGAACCCGGGTCTCCCACATTGCAGGCGGATTCTTTACCAGCTGAGCCCCCAGGGAAGCACCTGGGAAGCTGGGTTTCCTGGGGGCTCAGACGGTAAAGCGTCTGCCTGCAATGTGGGAGACCTGGGTTCAATCCCTGGGTTGGGAAGATCCTCTGGAGAAGGAAATGGCAACCCACTCCAGTACTCTTGCCTGGAAAATTCCATGGATGGAGGAGCCTGGTGGGCTGCAGTCCATGGGGTCGCAAAGAGTCGGGCATGACTGAGCGACTTCACTCACTCAAATTATATGCTACTTCTCTGCTCAAAACCTCCCCAAAGGCTTCTCAGAGTAAACCATGCTCTCTGACAGCTGTGAGTCCTGCCTGGTTAGGTTCCCAGCATCCCCAACCTCTCCCCTCACTCCCTTGCTGTCCGTGCTGAGCCACAGACGTGGGTCAGGCCCATCATGCCACCTGCCTCAACTAACTAGAATGAAGGCTCCATGAAGGTGTTGTCTGTTTCATTTGCTGACATATTCCCAGTGTCTGGAAAAATGCCCAGCACTTGCCCAATACATATTTGTTGAATAGATCAATTTGTGGTTATTTGGTATTTAAGAATATTATCCATATCCTTTCTCAATTTTTCTTTAAATTGAAGTATAACCAACATAAAGTGTATTAGTCTCAGGTGTAAAACAGCAATTTGGTATTTTTACGCATCACAAAATGATCACCATGATAAGTCTAATTACCATCTCATCACACAAAGTTATTAGATGATATTGACTATATTCCCTATCTATATAGTATATCTCTGAGCTATTTTACCACAGAGTTTGCACCTCTCAATTGCCCTCATGTATTTCACTCATCTTCCCATCCCACTCCACTCTGGCAGGCCACTAATTTTTCTGTATCTGTTACTAGTCTGTATTTGCTCAATTGTACTTTTGCATTTCTCATATAAGTGAAATATGGTAACTGTCTTTCTCTGACTTATTTTACTTATTATACCCTCTAGGTCCACTCATGTTGCTGCAAATAGCAAGATTTCATTCTTTTCTATGGCTGAGTAATATTCCACTGTTTGTATTATTATACATATAAATCTTTTTTATCCATTAATTTATTAATGGACACTTAGGTTGCTTTCATATCTTAGCCATTGTGAATAATACTAGAATGGACACAGGGGTACACATCTTTTTGAATTAGTGGTTTTGACTTCTTTGAAAAAAATTACCCAGAAGTGGAACTGCTGAATCATAGTTGTTCTATTTTTACTTTTTAAGGAACCTTCATACTGTTCTGTATAGTGGAGAACAGTTTAGAGTCCCACGCGTGCATGAGGGTTCCCTTTTACTGCATCCTTGTCAACACTTATTATTTGTTGTCCTTTTGATACTAGCCCTACTGACAGTGTGAGATGGTGTCTCATTGTGGTTTTGATTTGCATTTCCTTGGTGATTAGTAACACTGAGCATATTTCCACGTGTCTATTGGCCATAAGTGTATCTTCTCCGGGAAAATGTCTATTTAGGCCCTCTGCTCATTGCTAACTGTTTGTTTTTGATGTTGAGTTGTATGGGTTCTTAGGCTATTTTGGACATTAAGCTCTTAGCAGATACATTGTCTGTAAATACCTTCTCAGGTTCAGTAGGCTGCCTTTTCATTTTGTTGGTAGTTTTCTTCGCTGTGCAAAAGCTTATTAGGTTGCTACAGTCCCATTTGTTTGTTCTGCTTTTGTTTCCCTTGCCTGAGGAGACATATCCAAAAAAATTTCATGAAGACCAATTCAGTGTACTGCTTATGGTTTCTTCAAGGGGTTTTATGGCTTCAGTTTTTATAACTATTTTTTTGAGTGTATTTTCATATACAATGCAAGAAAGTAGTCCGGTTTGACTCTTTTGCATGAAACTGTCTAGTTTTCCCAACACCATTTATTGACAAGGCTATCTTTTTCCCACTGTATATTCTTCCTTCCTTTGTTGTGGATTTACCATATATGTGGGTTTATTTTGGGGTTCTCTATTTTGTTCCATTGACCTTTATGTCTGTTTCTATGCCAGTACCATATTGTTTTGGTAACTAGAATTTTGCAGTACAGTTTGAAATCAATGAGCATGATACTTCTAGCTTTGTTTATCTTTTTCAAAATTATTTTGGCTATTTGGGGTTTTTTGTGCTTCTTATTTGTTCTAATTCTGCAAAATGGCCATTGATATTTTGATAGGATTTGCATTGACTCTGTACGTTGCCTTGGGTAGCAGGGTAATTTTAATAATATTAACTCTTCAAATCTATGAGCATAGTATATCTTTTAATTGGTTTGTGTCACCTTCAGTTTCATCATGTCTTACAATTTTCAGTGTACATGTCTTTTGCCTCTTTGATTTATTACTAGGTATTTTATTCTTTTTGGTGCAATTTTTTTTTTTTTATAGTTTCAACCTTGACTTTATTTCTTTAAACATACTAAGCATATTTGTTTTTAAAGTCTGTTTGTGATAATGCCAGAAATCTACGGTATGTGTGCAATTTTAAATGGGATTGTTTTCTTAATTTCCCTTGATAATTTGTTAAGGTATAGGCAAGATTTCTATATATTGACTTTGTATGTGCAACTTAATTAGTTCTATGATGGCATCTTTAGGATTCCCTATATATAGTACCATGTCATCTGCAAACAGTGGCAGTTTTACTCCTTTTCTAGTTTGGATTACTTTCTTTTGCCTGTCTGTTGCTGTGGATAGGACTTCCAATATAATGTTAACAGGAGAGGTGAGTGACCCTCTTGTCTCAATAAGACCCTTTTTTTGTTCCTCACCTTAGAGGAAATGCTTTTGGCTTTTCACTGTTGAGTATGATATTAGCACTTGTCATATATGGCCTTTATTATATTAAGATGTGTCCCTCTATACCCACTTTGTTAAGAGTGCTTAATCACAAATGGATATAGAAGTTTGTCAAAAGATATTGAACCATCCTTACATCCCTGAGATAAATCCTACTTGATCATAGTGTATGATCCTTTCAATGTACTGGTGAATTTGGCTAGCTAAGACTTTGAAGCTTTTTACATCTATGTTTACGAGTGATATTGGCCTGCAATTTTCTTTTTCTATGTGTGGTATCTTTGGTTTTTATATCAGGGTGATGCTGACCTTGTAAAATGAGTTCAGAAGTGCTCCTTTCTCTTCAGTTTTCTGGAACAGTTTGAGAAGACAGGTGTTAACTTCTCTAAATGTTTCATAGAATTCACCCGTGAAGACATCTGGTCCTGACTTTTTGTTTGCTGGGAGTTTTCTTTTTTTTTAATTTACTGATTCAACTTCATTACTGGTAATTGGTTTCTTGAGACTTTCTTCCTGATTCAGTCTTGGGAGTTTGTTAGTTTCTAGGAACTTATCCATTTCTTATAGGTTGTCCACATTATTATGCATAATTATTCATAGTATCTTAGGATCCTTTGCATTTTTTATGGTGATGGATGTGATTTCTCTTTCATCTCTGATTTTCTTTGGGCCCTCTGTTTTTCTTCATGAGTCTTGGTAAGAGTCTGGTAAAATTTTTTCATTGTCTCAAAGAAACAGCTCTTAGTTTTATTGATCTTTTGTACTGTTTTTCAGTCTCTTTTACTGCTCTAATTTTTATTATTGTAGTCACTTTAGGTGTTAGGTTAGATTCCATTTTCATTTGTCTCTAATTTTAATTTTCTTAATTTTCTCTTTATCAGTGACCCACTGGTTGCTCAGTACCATATTGTTCAGTCTCTGTTCATTTTTTGCAGTTTTTTCTTGTAGTTGATGTTTAATCTCATACTGTTGTGGTTGGAAAAGATGCTTGATGTAATTTCAACCTTCTTAAATTTATTCAGATGTGTTTAGTAGCATAACATATGATCTATCCTGGAGATGATCCATGTGCACTTGAAAAGAATGTGTATTCTGATGCTTTTGGATAGAATGTTCTTAATCTATTTAGTCTATCTAATCTAATGTATCTTTAAAGCCAGTATTTCCTTAATGATTTTCTGTCTGGAATGTCTATCCATCGAAGTAAATGGAATACTAAAGTCTCCTGTTATTGTTTTACTCTTGGTTTCTCCCTTTGTCATCAATATTTGCTTATACATTTAGGTACTTCTATGTTGGGTGCATAAATGTTTTTAAAATTTTATTTTATACTATAGTTAATTTACAATGCTGTGTGTGTTTTGGGTGTACAGCAAAGTGATTCATATATACATATACACATATCCATTCTTTTTCAGATTCTTTTCCACATAGGTTATTATAGAATATATGTTCCCTGTGCTATACAGTAGGTCCTTGCTGATTATCTATTTTATATATAGTAGTGTCTTTGTTAATCTCACACTCCTAACTTATCCCTACTTCCCCTTCTCCCTCTAGTAACTGTTAAGTTTGTTTTTGAAGTTCTCATTTTTTTAGAACTGTTTTTTCTGTTCAGCTTGTATGATTTTCATTATTCTGTTTCCCAGGTCTCTGACCCATTCCTCTATATCATCTAATCTACTGTTGATTCTTGCTGCTGCTGCTAAGTCACTTCAGTCATGTCCGACTCTGTGCGACCCCCTAGATGGCAGCCCACCAGGATCCCTACTCCCTGGGATTCTCCAGGCAAGAACACTGGAGTGGGCTGCCATTTCCTTCTCCGATGCATGAAAATGAAAGCGAAGCCGCTCAGTCGTGTCCAACTCTATGCGACCCCATGGACTGAAGCCTACCAGGCTCCTTCGTCCATGGGATTTTCCAGGCGAGAGTACTGGAGTGGGGTGCCATTGCCTTCTCCGTGATTCTTACTAGTATGTACATATTCTTTTATTTCAGTTATTGTATTCTTCACCTCTTCTTGGCTCTTTTTATTTTCTAACTCTCTGTTAAACTTCACACCATGTCCATCCATTCTTCTCCTGAGTTTGTGGAGCATCTTTATGATCATTACCTTGAGCTCTTTATTGGATAAGATTGCTTATCTCCACTTTGCTTAGTTCTTCTTCTAGGGGTTTGAGCTTGCCTCCTTAGTTTAGAACATAGTTCTGTCTTTTCATTTTGCCTAATTCTGTGTTTGTGTATGAGGTGGGTCGGTTATGTGTTCTGAGACCCCCACGGAGCTGATGTCCTACCACAGCAGCAGACTCCCGTGCGGTGACCCCCACGTGGTGTAGGGGTGCCTCCTCCGTAGGCTGCATGGCCCTTCTGTGATGGCAGGGCCAACTACTTTCGGTATGCTGGCAGGCAAGGCCCAGTATCTGCATGAGCAGAGCTGGTGCCAGTCTGCTGGTGGGCAGAGTGCTGATGGGAGCCAGAGGGGGGACTCCGAAATGGTGCTTCTCAGCACCAGCGTCCTTGTGGTAAAATAAGTTCCCCCAAATGGCTGCCCCCAGCATGTGTGTCCCTGCTAGGAATCCCAGTTGCCTCCTGCTCCTCTGGGAGGCTCTCCCAGATTAGCAAGCAAATTTGACCAGGCTCCTTTCAAATCACTGCCCATATGCTGGGACTCAGCATGTGAGATTTTGTGTGCACTCTAAGAGTGGAGTCTCCATCTCCCACAGCCCTCTTGCTCTCCTGAAAGGAAGATCAGGGGCAGGTGTTCTGGGGGGCTTGTCTTCCTGGTGAGGGGTCTCTGGACTGGGGAACCTGCTGTGGGGTTTTGAACCTCTCTCTCTCTGGGATGGATTATCCTGCAGTTGTGATTATCCTCCCATTCAAGTGGGCTGCCTGCCTGAGGCTGTAGGTCTTGACTAGACTATGCATCTGCCCCTCCTTACCCATCTCATTGTGGTTCCTTCTTTGTATCTTCAGTTATAGAAAATCTGTTAAGTCTTCAGGTTGTTCTCATAGTTGTTCTGTAAATAGTTGTTAATTTTGGTGTGCCCATGGAAGAAGGTGAGCTCAAAGGCTCGCCATCTTGGCCACATCTCTACCCTTTCCAAATTTAAACACATTATTTTGGTCATATACATTTTGCCTCCATGGGAAAATGTTTTTTTTCAAGTCTATATTCTATTGGGGTAAAAAAGTAAGGGGTAGAAAAGTAAGGGAAGGAATTCAGGTTTTGACATGAGTTAGTATATTCCAAAGACAAGGAAACAGTGAATGTCAAAATCCCCTGGGAACAGAATTTAAAGCCGAAAACTGTCATATGTGTTTTTTAGGCTGAGTCTCTTTATGCTCATCTACATTTGTAAAATGGCCCCTCGTCTCCTGGTGACACTGGAGCTGGGACCCAGCAAGCAGAGTTCAGGCCCACTATAAATGTCCACTGCAATGTTAAGTACTGCCGAGAGAAAAAGGAAAGTAAAATTTCATTAACTACCAAAACAATAGGAAAATCTACTTAGAGGCAGTGCCACAGTGAGGTTAAAAGAGCAGAATCTAAAACCATGGTGCTAATCATCAGCCCCAGCACCACCACCACACTAGCAAGCTTCTCGACCTCTCAGAGCCCCATCTCCCAGGCTGCATGCACGTCAAGGGCTCGGCATTGGGCCTAGCACACAGGTGCTCAGCAGGTGAACTATGACTGTGGCTATTTCACTGCTTTTAAGCTGTGGATCCGTCTTTGCATGGACCTCATTTTCCTTTATGACTTCTTTCTTTGTACCCACAGCATTTAGCATCCCATGGTGTTAGGTATTCAACAAGTATTTACACCTAGTGATCACGGGTGGCTAGCACAGTCAGAGGGGTGTTATTTGGTTCAGTCCTGTGCTGCCTGAACTCGAGAGACTTGTGGGCTTGGTCTGTGGGAAGGGAGTCCCACCCAGGGGAGGGAAGGGTGAGAACTGTGGTCCAGAAGAGCTCAGAACAGGGAGGAGGAATGGCTTCCCAGGCTCTGATGAGCTGAGTCATGAGTTGTGTCTTCATGTGTCATTTATTAGATACCCAAATACAAACAGGTTTTGCTTTTTCTGTGCCACTGCTACCATCCATGAGCCCCAAGTCAGAGTATCTGAAAACTCTGAGTTAACTAGTAAAGTATGATGAATAAACCCCGTTCTCACCTACTAAGAGGCCTCCATTTGAACCTCCATTAATAGTCAGCCTCTTGGGAGACGTGTAACCTTCCTTGATAAGGTATTCAGCAGCACACTGGAAGTCATCAAAGCAGTTTTGTTTGTTGGCCAAGATGCCACCTGTAATGTGCCGAAGTGAAATATAAGTTAATTAACAAAATACTAAAAAAACAAGAAAAGAAAAATCAACAAAAACATTTTAACCTAAGAGGAATTCAAATGATGATAAGGCATAGTTTCAACTACTGATCAACTTAAACACAATGAGCTAACACTACATTTAGAAAAATGCCTCAATTTATGCACTATAGAAATCCATCATCAGTACCACAACTGCTAATCCATATGGTGCCTTTGTATTTTTCTAAAACCTCTTAGAACTTAAAAGGCAAATGCCCCAAAGGGAAGAGATGATCTGTTATGATGTCAGACAACCATGAGAATAAAAATGAGAAAGCATGCCATCAACACGAACTTGTGTCCTGGGAGGAGCTGGACTCACTGACACACGACCTGGAGCAGAACTGAGTCCTCCAAGAGCTCCACAGAGAATGTGACAATGGAGGTGAGCTCACTGCTTCTTTCCTGGGAAGATGAAGGTGCTCTGCACAGACAGGCTCATGTCTCACCTCTCCTCTCTGCAGGACTTTGAGATGGGTAAGTGATTTTGAGAACTAAAGCTCTCTGATTTTACCCTCGGCTATTTATTCAAGAACTTAAGTAGGAATTTGGAGAAGGGAATGGCAACCCACTCCAGTATTCTTGCCTGGAGAACCCCACGTAGAGAGGAGCGTGGAGGGCTATAGTCCATAGGGTCGCAAAAAGTCGGACATGACTGAGTGACTCACACACACAAGTAGGAATTAGGTGATTAGGTGGCGGAATGTTGTTGCACAAAGTAGCTGATTAGTTTTAGTCTTTGTTGGCCCTGCAGCATGCAGGCTCTTCCCCTGCCAAGAACTGAATGCATGCCCTGCTTCAGCAGAACTGCAGTCTTAACCATTGGTCCACCAAGGAAGTCCCTAGTTTTTCTAGTCTTTTTTTCTCTCTAGTCTTGAGTGAAGAGGATCTCAAACATCTCCCCAGAGAATCTCAGCTTTCTCATAGTCAAATGAACCCATTAAGAGAGGAACATCTGTAAGGTCTTAGAATATCTAAAAATAAAAGCCAAAAGTCAAAGTCATGCTCTCAAAGGAATGGATACCTGAAATAACTGCCTATGAAATGAACAAAAAGCAGACATAGATCTGATTAGATATTTGAGATTAAATATAACCATTTTTGCAGAAACTGAATTAAGGATGAAGCAGTACTACTGAAGAAATTTTTTCATATCAAAACAAATGTTATTAAGATTTTAATAAGAAATTATCAGTGAATTAGAATGGCTAGGGTAACTTAGTTTACAGGAATAATATAATTTTGGGTATATGACTATATTTTTTAAAGGGCATTAAATTTTAAAACTCAATTAACAGAATGGAATCTAGATTTATCAATGTTCAATATGACAGGGTCTAACTGAAAAGGTCCATTTGGGGTCCTTTCGCTGCCTAAATTGGGAGAAAGTCTATGATCAATCTAAACACAGGTAAGCAACTTTCAGCTTCAGTCAAGCTGCAAACTTCCCTCCCCCCAAGGCTTTTGGAAAATAACTTGGTTATATTTAATACAGAGATGAGAAAGTTGACCAAGACCAAGGGAGGGCACGCTTCCCTATCAGAGATCAGTGGACCACCTAAGGAACAGAAGAATTTTACGGTGAAGGACTTCGGTCCTTTGAGAAGGCCACAGTGTCAGAAGTCCATGCAGGTGGGTGTTTAAGTGTGAACATGAAAATTTTTAAACCAGAAAATCAGGTGAATCAAGGGATCCAGACTTAGCATTATTGGTTTGGGATGTAAATCAAACATATAGTATGTTGAAATTTTATTTTTATTCTCCTTTTCTTAGTCATCTCTTAATATCACAGTTTCACAGTATGATTTTAGGGTAATTAAACTCTAATATCAGGTCCAAGTCAAAATTATACAATAAATTTTATGCTGTTTCAAATACAATGACAATCAGTAAAGCCTTCAGGGATGATACCTGGCAGCAGTTGGCCCAACAATGGCTGGGGCCTCATGTGTTCACTGGGGACATTTACTCTTGCTAAGATGCTCAAGTAGTTTGCTGTCTAACATTGGTCCTTTGGGGTGCATGCTGAAGACCTAGGGGTCAGTTCTGGGCCTTTCCTGCCTCCTGACACCTAACAGTTACTTAGGAAGTATTCTCTTTACAGATCTACCCTCATCTTTGTTGATCTGATTTGATGCAGTACACCAGAGCCTCTGGCCTCAGGAGGCAGAGAAGAACAAGTGGGTTTATGGATCTGAAGGGTGGTCTTGGATGCTCTTCCAGTGGCAGAAGGGCCCCCTCGCCTGGTGCTGCCCAATCAAGCCCAGGCAATGGGGTCTGCCCTCAGGCCTGCAGACTGTCTTCTACATGATGGCTGATGTCGAGAGGGGAGAGGCAGGGAGCTGGTGGGAGTGAAGGTGCCTCCCACAAACATAGGAATAAGGTAAGGGAAGAGCATCTTCTTCAAGTTATTGACTCGTCTATACATTTCAGATATACAAAAGCCTGGGAGACAGGGCATGCTCCATATAGAGAGAAAAGGAAAAGACAGGGCTTTAAAAATAAAGACTGCCATTAATGTTTTTAATTTCCTCAAGCAACTAGAATACATGCTTCATAGAGTGAGTCATTAAAACCAGAAAAGAATAACAACTGCGTTGTGTTTAATAAAACCTGCACATGATAGTCCCAACAGTAATGCTAGGAGGGATGCTATTTGTTAGCAGTGTTGGAAAACTTGGAGAAAACAAGCAAAAGATGCCCAAACTGGGACTAGGAAAGCTCTATTTTAGAGAGATCGTCTCTCTTACGAGAAAATAACCTGGTTTTGCAGTCTGCTTTAAGAGAGCATGACTTTCACTGTTTAGCATTATCTGGCTAACAGAGGACACAATAAATACCAAAAGTTATCCCCCAGACTCACTTCTGACAGTGATAGATAAAAATGTACCCCATATATTGCTAAAAAAATTGATTATGGTATGAAGGGGATGCTTTTGAAAAATATGTACTTCATTAAAATAGACTGCCAAGGAAAATGTGAAAAGACTGAGCTGTTAAACAGACACTGAAACTACAGTTTCAGTTTGGAAAGGTGGGGATACTGCCAGCAGTGTGTCTGGAAGCATCCTTATTTTTCATCTGTCTTGTCTCTTGGGCTCCTAACCCCTCGGCTCAGACTGCGCCATGTTTGTGTTTCTGCAGAGGGCACGCCTCACCTTTATGCCATGTCTCTCCGTATTCGCCACCTCCTCTGATGTTGGCCACTGCAAGGACGCCACCCATGTGTCTCACGAAGATGAGCCTGGACACACTGAGAGACAGTAGAAATGGTTAACCGCCCGGCGAGGAGCGCACTGTCTCCTTCCACCACACACGCACCCCTGAAGACACTCTACACGTGGGATCACCTGAACGGGAGCCCAGAGCTTACATATTGCACTTAAAGCAAATAATGTAAAACTTCTGACTGATGAACTGCAAAGCTCAGACATTTGCACGAGCATTCAGTATACCTCACTTTGAACAGCTGTCTCGGCAGACAAAAAACACTGCCCAGTCACCCGACGCAGCCCTGGTGTGAACACCCAGTATCTTTCTCCAAATTAAGTTGGAAAAAAGCAAGCAAGCTCTTTCTGAAGTATGAATTTTACACAGGTTTTCCAGAGATTTACATGGTAAACTAGGCGTGAGAGAGACAGAGGAGATCAAGGACACAGAACCAGGAAACAAGAACGGAGTGACCAGGGCTGCAGGATGTTTTCTAGAAATAAACAGAAGAAACTATAGCACAAAGCTGCTTTACAAAAATTAGATTTTGTTTTCCTCCTTCTCTTTCCACTGACCCTAAGAGTATTAGTACTGAGGTTATTTCTCTGCTTGCTGTAACTGAAATTAATTTTGCTTTGAAAACTGTCCCTGAAATTTTATCCTTCTTTCTTTCAGTAACTGGGGAAATGACAGGCTTCGGCAGCCCAAGGCTCTGGATAGTCTGGGTGCTAACTTCCTGGATGCTGAAGATCAGAGGAAGGTGATCAGACCACTCATGTGGTCTTTCCTTCAACATTTTTCCTACACCTTGGAGGGTCTCTGCTGAAACTACCAGCATATCCACTGGCTCAGAAAAGAAAACGTGTAAGTACACTTCCTTACTCATCTCAATTCCCAACACAGAACAGGCTTAATAAAGACACACAAGGAACAAAGACAACATCTGTGGGGACCAAGGGAAGGGGGTTCAGGTGCAGACACAGTCTAGACCAGCCTCTGGCTTCTACTGTTTGGAGATCAGATACACAGAGGTGCCACACTTACCTGTAGTTGGGTGTGATAGATATGTTGAAGCCCCCATAGCCATATAGGAAGGCAGGGTGAGAACCATCCAATTTTATGCCCTTTTTATGCACGATGAACATCGGAATCTTTGTGCCATCCTTGCTAGGGTAGAAAATCTAGAACAAAAGAAAGCAGAGTAGTTAAGATTTCACATTCCTGAGGAAGCACTTGAATGCTTTTACATGGGAAAAGTAGTTAGCAAATTCTTTAAGATGCAGAGTGGCACAGTGAAAATCCAGTACCACTAAAGGGCTAGGTGATGACAAAGCATATTTCAGTTTTTATGGAGACAGTGTGGAGTAGTGAACTCAGGCAGACTTGACTTTGAATTCTTATTCACTAGCAAAAGCTAGGTGATGCTGGGCAAGTTGTCTGGTCTCAGCCTTATTTCTTTATCCCTAAAATGTGGCTGTCATGCCCAGCTCTTAGGGTCTCCATGAGGCCCAACTAAGAGAAGAGGCATTCAGTTCTCTGCTCCTGAGCATCCCCCCCAGCACCGGAAAGTCAGATTTGGCTCTTCTATCAAACAGTCCGATTGAGGAAGACGATTTCTCTAGGAGAGACAGTTTATATTCAACTTCCTCTTTAAATGTTAAAACACTCAACTCTTCATTTTTCTATGTTCAACTACTAAATAAATGTTAGCAACAACAAAATGCGTGTGAGCTTTATAGAGTACATGAGGAACAACCCAGAAATCCTATTGTCTTGATTAAACAATGACACTTTCTCCAGTACTGATAATGAAGGCTCTTCAAACCTCCCTGAATTTGGACATACTCAGGCAAGTTCAGTTAACATTTCTAGATTCATTACATTTTGGGTAAAAGGAATAAGAGAAAAAGGATTAGTAAGAGAACGTGAAATGCTATTCAAATGGTAAGACACACAAAAGGCACCAAGTCACCCAAAGCTGATAATGGCTTTTTTCAGACAAAAGTCTGTAAACAGCTTTCTCTTTGGGGAAACATGGTGTCTTTATCCCGGATGACACCTGTAAAGTGCCCCAGCTTAGAAACATCTTTCTAATAACTTCATAGTCAAAGACACAAATGTCTACAGTCACTTTGACTTGCAGCCATATTCTATCCAAAGCTTTTTAAGGTAGCAGTTCTACTATAGAAAGTTGCCACAAAGTCCTTGGAAATAAACAGTGAGGGGTGGGCAGGGGAAGTCGAGGCAGATTTGGAGAAAGGTATACAGGGTCACAGTTAATGCCTGCAAGTTTGGTCATTTTTTTTTTGAAACCTGCCAAGAAATAGTATAGCAAGCATTTGCTTCTGACTTTGGAGAGAAATACTGAGAGAGTACATCAATTTGGCCATTAAGGAATCATGGAGAATATACTGCAGCATTCAAAATCATTCAATGGGACAGAGTCTTATTTAAAGTTACTGAGTGCCAGGTAGCAGCCACTAACAGAAAGTAACTGTGTGGGCAGGACAAGAAAATGCAGAGGAACAAGTGATGGACTGGGGTTAATGCCCTAACACACAGGGCCCTCGAGCAGGAGTAATCTAACCACAGAGGCAGCCGCACCCGGGAGCGAATGGCCTCACGTGGTTCTACCTTAACCAATACAGCTACCTCCCAAATTCCCACCTACCCTCCAACCCCAGCCCCGCACCCATTCCCTCTTTGGTCCAACTGAGCTCTCCTCGGGCCACAGCCCCTCTGCACCAGTCAACTGGACTGGCGCACCTCTGTCCCCACTAAGCTCTCAGACCCTCCTCTTCGCTACCACCTGGAGGAGGATTTCCAGTGCCTGAACTGGTCTGTTCTCATCTGTCTCCAGGACAAAGGAACACCATCCAAAGCACAAAGGCTCCCTTATGCCTGTAGCTGCAAAAAATATACCCAAGCTTTAAGCTGCTCTGGTTCACATGTTAAAATAACAACATTGTAAACACTGTCCCAAAGTAAAAGGGCACTGCGAGGATGATCACAACAATATCATCTTCAAGACAACTCCTTAAAAGAAGGTTATTTCAGACTTGAACATACACACTTAATATATATGTATACAGATTTTTTCACTATATAGACACAGAACAGTATTTTATGCCGTTTCCATCTGTGGAATGGCAGCTGATAATAAACCTTAACCTGACTCTATAAACTGATTCCTCCTAAAGCCACTTCCTTCAAAACTTTTCTTTCAGAGGCTTTGTGGGTATTTTCTTTGTAGATCTGCTCAGGAATGAGGAGAAGCTCCTCATTTCCTTGTTCTTCCCAAACCTGGCCCAACCAAAAAGCTCCACCTCAGAATCTACACTAGCGGTTCTTGAACCTTATTGGTTGGACCTAAGAATCTGGCATAAACATGTTAAAAATGCCATTTCCCTAGGCATCATTCCCAGGAATTCGGACCCCACAGTGTGGGATGGATGCCCAAATCTGCAGATTCAGCACATCTGCTGGCTCTTCTGATGCAGGTGGATCTAGGCTCAAAAAACTAGTCACGCTGTTGACTTGTATCATCCCCTCTAGCCTCCTCAGTTACATCAACCAAAAGCAGGTATTTTCCCACAGTCCTTGACAATCTACTTCTCTTGACCCAGTTCTCCTGCGATTTTCTTCAGTGACTAGTGATTTTCTTTCAGTGAGTGGTCCACCTATCCTGCCTGGATGCCTTTACAGGCCCGATGTCTGCCGCCACCACACCCTATCCACTTGTTCATTCAAATATCTGCTGCATGTCCATTATGTGCCAAGCACTGTGCTGAGACATACAGATGAATACAACCTGGATAATTCCTTCTGTCATGGACTTAACGTCTCCAGAGTCAAGTCGACAGGTACTGCAAACACCCATCCCTTGGCCCTTAGAACTTGGAGCTCTTCTGAAAGGAACTCATTTCCCCAGTGACTCCAGCTTGTTCTTGTTCTTGCTCTACCTCCTCTTCCTTACTCCTGAGGTATTTGCCTTTTTTCTTTCCTTTTTAAAAAAACTTTCATTACAAAACTCAAACAGGGACTCTGTATCAACCTAGAGGGGTGGGATGGGGAGGGAGTTTCAAAAGGGAGGGGATATGTGTATACCTATGGCTGGTTCATGCTGAGGTTTGACAGAAAACAACAAAATTCTGTAAAGCAATTATCCTTCAATAAAAAAATAAAACAACAGCAACAACAACAAACTTCCATTACAACATTCAATCCCTTATATCTCTCCGGCTCTGTCAGCCTCCCGTGGGTTTTCTTGCCTGGCTTGTGACCCTTAGGGTGACCTTGTCACCCGTAAAGTATCACTAATACCTGAAATCCTCTAATTCTACCCTAACCAACTGGGTTCCTTTTCCTCCTCTGGGCTGCTAGGCACTCAGGAAGTGCCAATTCACTTAATTACAGATTAATAATAGTTGAACTCACGGGCTCTGACCTTATGCCATTTTTCTAATCAATTCCAGAGTAGCCGTTTCCAGTGTTTTCCATTTTCCTCCATGCCAAGCATCACCCATTTGCATCTGCTGCTCTTTGGATCTGGCTTTGCCTATCTTCATGGGAGTCATCTGTTGGGATTCTTGAAAAACCTTCTGCCACCTTCAGTCACCCTCTGAACCCCAGAAAGGTACTACTGCACTTTTCTGATCACCACAAATTTCTCTTTTTGTATTGTCTCCCTTTCCTTGGCATACAAACAAACTCAAATTTCTTCTGTCCTACACAGCAACAAAGCCCCAAATCTTTTGCACCACCCTGTCTGCCCCTCAAGCTAAATTTCCATCTCCTGCTTTCTTCCCGATCAAATATATCCACAGTAACCTACACTCACAGCTCACCCTGGCCTGCCCTTCAGGACTGTCCCCCTCCCCTCCCTTTCAGAGGGCATCAGTAATGTTTTTGTCTTTGCCTCTCCATCCATACCTCTACCCTAGTGATGTAGATCCTTCTGAACTTCTTCACATGCTTATAGATACATATCTATCTACACATATTCACATACACAGGTATTATTAAATGGCAGTACATAATAAAATCAGGCAAATGCTGGGATAAAACTTATTTTGCTTCTCCCCGGTCAGCTATATATTATGGAATTCTTTCCAGGTTAAGATACACAGACTTAAAACTTCACTAAAAAAACTTCATTGGATTTAACCATTTAACAAGCTTATTTAACCATTTTGCTCACCAAAATGAGCATATTAAGACTATTCTTTTTCTGTTTTAACAATGATGGAATAAATCCCTTTTACATAAAAGGGATTATATACTCATGATTTCTGTAGGATATATTCTTAGACATGAGATTGCTAGATCAAACTGTACCTGCATTTAAAAATTTAGCAGAGGAATGAGAGTCAAGGTGGCAGAAGAGGAAGATGTGGAGTTTGCCTCTCCCACATCAAGGATCTACAAATGAAACAGTTCTCACAGAGCACATGCTGAACACTAGCAGAGGACCTCAGATAGCTAAAAGGACAAGAAAAATTCCTGCACAACCAGGTCGGATGAAAGAAAGAAAAAAAGGGCATGAGATGGACCCTGCACCCCTGGATGGGGAACTGGAGGACAGGAGAGGGCCCCACACTCAGAGAAGCCTCCTCACGAGCAAGGAGACCAGCTGGGACACGCAGGGAGCTCTGGAGACTTGCAGGAGAGTGCTGCAACTGGTCAGTGGCAGGCAGAACAGAGTAAGACCCACACGGGTGGTCTGTGCCATACAGATGGCTGAAAAAGCACATGACAAGATGCTCAACAGCATGAATTACTCGAGAAATGCAAATGAAAACTAAAATAAGGTATTACCTCACAGCAGTCAGAATGGCCATCATCAACACAATCTATGAACAATAAATGGTGGAGAGGGTATGGAGAAAAGGGAACCTCCTGCACTGATGGTGGGAATGTAAATTGGTACAGTCACCATGGAGAACAGTATGGAGGCTTCCTAAGAAACTAAAAACAGAACTACCAAATGAGCCACTCCTGGGCATCCATCTGGAGAAAACCATAATTCAAAAAGAAGGTGCACTCCAATGTTCACTGCACCACTATTTACAATAGCGAAACATGAAAATAACCAAAATGTCCATCAAAAGAGGAATGAATAAAGAAGACATGGTACATAAATACAACAGAACACTACTCAGCCATAAAAAGGATGAAATGC